CTTTGCATGGGATAACCTTTTATCCAGGAGAAGGTTTTAAGGTACTGTGGGAGGGAAGAGATGAGAGACCGACGCCTCTCCCCGGGGCTGCACAGAGCTTGGCAGTGTGGGGAGAAGCGGCTTCCTGGGAGAAGCGGCAGGGGCAGTCGCTCACTAAGGCCGGCGGAGGAATAACCTGTCATCCAGGAGAAGGTTTTAAGGGACTATGGGAAGGAAGAGATGAGAGCCCGACGCCTTTCCCCGGGGCTGCATGGAGCTTGGCAATGCGGGGAGAAGTGGCTTCCCGGGGGAAGCTGTGGGGCCAGTCACTCGCTAAGGCCAGCAGAGGACGGGCTCGGGCTCCGGCGACAGGCGCGCGGCTCCCTTCCCCCTCCTTCCCCTCAGGCTCCTCACCTCAGTTATATCAACTGTCAACTTATATTTCAACAATGTATACTGACAAAGCGCAAGGACAGTCACTTAAAGTAGTTGGAATTGATTTAGAGACATCTTGCTTTTCACATGGACAACTCTATGTTGAGTGTTCAAGAGATGGAAGTGAAAAAAATTTGTACATATTTGTTAAGAATAACGAAACAAAAAATATAGTTTACAATAAAGTTTTTGATGATAACATGTAAAATTGGTTGTTTTATACTTTTTTAATATATATTTTAATCTCTATAGAACTCAGTGCAACTTTTCTACCATTCAAAAAACGATAATGGACTACTGTTTTTCTAAATTTTGTTCCTCCACTTTCCCGAGCAATGCCGGGTAACTCCTGCTAGTTAATTTCTAATCTGTCCTGCATGTTCTGTACCAAAGATACCACATATCATTCCAGATCCCATTCAAACCAAAGGGGCATTAAATTCCTTTTATGGAAAGTGATGAACTGCACTTTTAATTAAGGTCTGTGGCCTAGGAATAGAAGTCAGGGCTATATATCATATTCAGTCCTCTGCAGATCTCCCACTGATGACAACGGATGGTTTGTATGGAGATCAAGGATAGGATTAAGGCTTTTATACAGTAACTAAACTTTAAGTTGGTAGAATTATTCTTGCATTTAGCATTACTCAATGATAAAAAATTATGTAGGAGAGGGGAACGATTTCTGGAAGTACTACCTCTGTTTTTGCTCTGTTTTTTTGGCTATTTGTTTATGTAATTGCCATAATTACTTATGTAAATTGGGTATAAAAGGACACATGTATTTTGCATGCAGAATTGTCCCATCGATGTTTTCAGAATTTCAGACCCTGAGTTCAAGGTTAACATGTCATTTAGATAAATGGAAGGGAGGAGATTTCACATCCCTCACGGCTGTTGCTTCACTTCAAAACTATGCTACATTTGTTGATGTTTGATAGGTTTTCTTGGTGACCATAAGAGACAGAAAGTTTGTTTAGTCATTTTGTTTTTAAACCTGGAATTTTATGAGAATCTAATAAATAATAAATTACACAGGCACAATCCGATCTGTAGACTAGCAATCAGATATCCCTGTTCTAATTGTTGCCATTTTTGTAAGATGAAATAATATGTTAAAAATTCAAGAACATTTAATACTGATGTACAGAGATAAACCTACAAGTTATAGAATATAACATTACAGTTTAAAAATTACTTTTAATGGAAATTATATTACCAAAAAAGATAGCAGGAGTTGTTTTTAAAAGCATGATTTATTTGTTTCTAAAGAAGAAACAGTGAAGAAAAACCAGGTAATTTTTATAAAATGTCAATTTCTGGAAGAAGTGGTAATCCTAATCTTTGTCAAGAAAGGGCAAAATAAGCCTTTTTGGGCCAAGGAAAATTACACGCTGGTGGGGCTTAAAATGGATATCTTACTGAAAAGGATTCTCCCCAGCATGCTGTAATATTGAAGTATGAAGATATTACTTTTCAGAGCTAAAGAAAATAAAACTTTTTACATTTAATATGATTATTTCTGTTTTAAGGAAACATCTTTTATCATTTTTGTGTATTTTGTCTCTGAGGAAGGAAGGTATAGTTATAGGGGAAGTATAAGAAACAAAAGGAGACAGAATGCACCTATTAGTCCCATTTTTTCAATGCTACAATTTCTGTTGCTACTAAGAGAATGCAGGAGGGAAAATGACAGCAGGGTGGTATTTAGCTCACTAACAAACATACTCCAGCTGTGAACTTGTGATCAGTCCTTCTATATTCAAATGTTTCCCCCTTATTACTCTTAATAAGTTTCCAGGAACAGTAAGATCAATTTGTATTTAAAATTTTCAATAAGTTTCCAGGAACAGTAAGATCAATGAAGTTTTGCACATCACATATTTGTATTTAAAATTTTTATTTTTAATTCTAGAAACCATACTCTGGATTTAATAAAATAAACATATTTAAGGATTATATATAGATGTACAAACTACATACCTCCTTTGGTTCTACACTCTTAGGCCAGGTCTACTCTAGACCTGGAAGGTCTGTTTAAGGTACACAACTTCAGCTACGTAAAATATGTACCTGGAATCAGCTTAATATAAGCCAAGTTTGATGCTGTTCTCACTGCAGGAGGCTGCTTCTCTTACTCCCAGCAACTGCAAGGAGTACATATTCTTGTTATATGTAGAAACGATTTAGATATTGGCATAGAACAGGCATGTCCAAAGTCCGGCCCGCGGGAGAATTGCGGCCCATGTTCCGGTTTAATACGGCCCCACAGGTAATTTGGCAATATCTATCTTTTATGGCTCCCAACGAATCCATATGTATTGAGATGAATACATTGTAAAATCTCAGTTAATGTCAGTTGGTCTAAATCAGTTATAAATATATTTGGACACAACATGTATACTTGGTGTTATGTTCCTGTTCATATTTTTTGAACTTAAAAGTTGACAGACAACCTTTATTACCAATAATATGTAATGTACTTTACAATGTTCCTGACATATATTTCAGCTTCTTGGATTTTTTTTTCATCTGGCCTTCAGATATGAAAGGCAGAGTGATTTAACACCTGTTTAGATTTGTCATCCATGTGACGAAATGAAAAGTATGCTGTTTGCAATAAACTTTGCATAAAATAGTTAATTTGCATTTAATTTTAATGGATCAAAGAATGTCAGGCAAAATGGTCGGCCCTCACGCATGTTCACTTCATCAAATCTGGCCCTCTTTGAAAAAAGTTTGAACACCCCTGGCATAGAAAGTACACTTATTAAGTTTGCAGATATTGGCATAGAAAGTATGCTTATTAAGTTTGCAGATGATACCAAGATGGAAGGGGTTGCAACTGCTCTGGAGGATAGGGTCATAATTCAAAATGATCTGGACAAATGGAGAAATGGTCTGAGGTAAACAGGATGAAGTTTAATAAAGTCAAATGTAAAGTGCTCCACGTAGGAAGGAACAATCAGTTTCACACATACAGAATGGGAAGCAACTGTCTAGGAAGGAGTACGACAGAAAGAGATCTAGGGGTTATAGTCTACCACAAGCTGAATATGAGTTAGCAGTGTGATGCTGTTGCAAAAAAAGGAAACATGATTCTGGGATGAATTAACAGGTGTGTTGTGAGCAAGATACGAGAAGTCATTCTTCCGCTCTACTGTGCGCTCGTTAGGCCTCAGTTGGAGTATTCTGTCCAGTTCTGGGCACTGCATTTCAAGAAAGATGTGGAGAAATTGGAGAGGGTCCAAAGAAGAGCAACAAGAATGATTAAAGGTCTAGAGAACATGACCTATGAAGGAAGGCTGAAAGAATTGGGTTTGTTTAGTTTAGAAAAAGGAAGACTGAGGGGGCACATGATAGCCGTTTTCAGGTATCTAAAAGGATGTCATAAGGAAGAGGGAGAAAACGTGTTCATCTTGGCCTCTGCGGATAGAACAAGAAGCAATGGGCTTAAACTGCAGCAAGGGAGGTTTAGGTTGGATATTAGGAAAAAGTTCCTAACTGTCAGGGTAGTCAAACACTGGAATAAATTGCCCAGGGAGGTTGTGGAATCTCCATCTCTGGAAATATTTAAGAGTAGGTTAGATAAATGTCTATCAGGGATGGTCTAGACAGTATCTGGTCCTGCCATGGGGGCAGGGGACTGGACTCGATGACCTCTAAAGGTCCCTTCCAGTATTCTATGATTCTATGATATGCCAACTGGAGCTGCCCTGAGGGTTCGATATATGGGTCTGCATCTGACCCACTAAATCAAACACCAGAATGTCAATCTCTGGCGTGGTGAGTGAAGATGTGCCCTTAGAGACACAATAGAGGCATATATACATATACAATATATGTATACACATTTTACGGATGCCTCAGTAGCAAATCCATCATTAAGAATGCATTGAGGTTTGGTCTTAAAACTGGATCAAAATCCCTGCTTCATGTCTTAACTGAAATTAACCTCCAATTTTTTAAAACAATAATTTGTAGTAGAACTATTTAATTTTCTTTATATGGTAATATTTTTGTAGAATAATCTTTGCAGAAAAATTAATAAAAATACTCCCTTTCAGAAATTTTTTTTTCCACTCATTTCTTTTGGGTTTCTTCAGGTAAACAAGCACAGCCTTTAAACTCAAAACTTCAGACACACATGTTGATCTAAGACACAAGCCACCTTTAAAATTAGTATTTCTATCAAATGTATCTGTAATATCTCTGTATTGGAGTGTCCTGGGCAGTCCACACTTTTATGGAGATTATGGCATATGCTGGTGTCCTGATACTGACCAATGTTTTAAAAAATAGATCTAGCTTTTTTTAAAAAAAGAGCCATATAGTAACAAAAACAGTGTATTTTGATTGGTATCCTCAATACACATTTTAAAAATTGAGTTGCACAGACAATATGTCTCACAGACTCATAGACTTTAAGGTCAGAAGGGACCATTATGATCATCTCATCTGACCCCCTGCACGATGCAGGCCACAGAATCTCACCCACCCACCCACCCACTCCTGGAATAATCCTCTCACCTATATCTCAGATACTGAAGTCCTCAAATGGTTTAAAGACCCCAAGATGTAGAGAATCCTCCAGCAAGTGATCCGTGCCCCCATGCTACAGAGGAAGGCGAAATGTCATTACAAATGCAATCAAATCATTGGCACTGCTGTCTTTAATAAAAATAATAAAATATCATTTTGATTATAGTTAGGCTTTCATCCTGCAAGCACTTGTCTGCACAGAACGTTTCTCAGATGGGTAATCCCATTGAAATAAATGAGATTACTTGTATCAATAAAGTTACACACATAACTAGCCTTTCAAACATATTTTAAAAATGGGAAGAAAATACTCAATCCTACGTATTATCCAACATGGGAAGAGCCTTGTTGGTTTCATGGAATTCTACAGGACTGCTTCCATGGAACTACTAGGCATCTATAATTACTATTTTTTCATTTACAAATTTAACTTACCTTTGCTGTTCCAAAAGTAATCAGTAGCAAATGGAAAACCTGTTTGTATGGGGCCCAAGTTCTCTACTTCTGTGCAAAAACAAAAGTTAAAAATCTACTGTTAAGATAAAATGTGTGAAATAAAATTTGTTTGCCTCTTTCTCTAACACTTCAGATCATTAAACTTCATTTTAAAAAATAATTAACTTTCAACCAATAATGTTGTTTGTTACCTTTTCTCAGCAAAGATAGTGAAAATTGTCTGGAAATAAATCCGTCTATTTCATTTTTGGTTTTTCAAGCAAATGTATGTGAAATGTATCAGATTGTTTGAAATTTCTGTGTGCAAATGTTAAAATGAAACCAAATCAGTTTTCACTGAAACTTAAAAATAAATATTTTATTTAGGCCATGGAAAGACTTTTGGGGAGTAAAAGACACACCAATGTACCCTGCACAATTAACTGTGGTATTGGAGGTTTAGTCCTTCAAATATTTCAGCATTTACACTGATGTTGCCTAAAAACAAATATTTGTCAGAAAATTCAAATTATTTGGTGTTTTCTTAAAGCCCAGATCTTATAAGCCCTGTGAGAATATCAGCTTTCTTTTTTCTTATAAATACATTTCTAGCTCTCATAAGCTTGAAAACATAAAGGCATGAGAATAGGCTGGGGGGCATTCCCCCAAAACTGCAAAAAGTGTGCAGCTGTAGAATTTGAACATCTTCGCAGGAGGCTCTGCAGGAGCCAATACACATGGGAAGCCAGCTTAAACGCTGATTCCCATGTGAACCGGCTCCAGTCTGCCCCTCGGCCCCTGCACTGCTGCCTGACAAAGGCTGCAGCACGGGCAGGGGATGGGGGTGGGAGGGCAGGCAACTCTGTGGGAGCCGTGCTCATGGAGAGCCAGCTTTTAAGCCATCTTCCCTTGAGTGCTAGTTCTCTTCTGTCCCTTTGCACTGCTGACAGCTCCATGAAGCTGGCACACATGGAGAACCAGGCTTAAAAGTCAGCTCCCCACACATACTGGTTCCTGCCTGCCCCTCCAATTCACACTGCTGCCTTCGTGGGAAGCAACAGCCCGGGGGGCGATGGGACTTGGCAGCTTGGTGGGAGCAAATATGTGCAGGGACCCAGCTTCTCATGTATACCATTTCCTACCTACTCTGCTGACTCTCTATCAGAGGCAGAAGCACGGGAGGCAAGGAGCTCTATGGGAGCTGGCTTTTAAGCCTCAGCATCAGCTCCCGCCTCCCCATTCTGTGCTGCTGTCTTTGTGGGAGGCACAGGCAGTGGCATAGCAAAGGGGGGCGGGAGGGGCAGTTGCTCATGGGTCCCACGCTAAGGGGGTGCCAATTTAGCTATTTCCAGGCACCGCTGCCTTATGTAGAAGGCTCTAGCTGGCATCACATAGTGTCATGCTTTAGTGGGGCAGGGCTGTGGCTGCTGCTAGGGCTGGAGCATGGTGCCTGCGCCCCACAACCAGGTCTCAGCCCCTGTGTGCAGGGAGACCTGCTGCCCCGCAGAGCCCCAGTCCCCAGGCTTGTGAGTTGCTCACCCGCCACTGCAGCTGGGCTGTGCAGACCTAGCGTGCCAGCCTTGACCCTGGTCCTGCAGTCCCCAGCCACGAGCAGTTGTGGCCCCCTGGCCTTACATCATAATCTCCTGCCCACGAGTGTGCACTTCGTGTCCAAGTGGCGCCTTGCTCCAGCATCCCCCGCAGCCCCGGAGGGCCAAGGAAGAGGTGCCTTGGGGAGAGGCGTTCTTATTTTTGCTGACTTAGAAATAAATAACATGTACATAGTATCAGAGGGGTAGCAGTGCTAGTCTGAGTCTGCAAAAGCATGCATCTGACAAAGTGGGTCTTTGTCCATGAAAGCTTATGCTCCAACACTTCAGTTAGTCTATAAGGTGCCACAGGACTCCTTGCCGCTTTAACATATACATAGTAACAAATGCCTTGAGGGCGGGGGGCTGGACTCGATGACCTCTTGAGGTCCCTTCCAGTCCTATTATTCTATGATTCTATGATTGGGGGACACAAATTTTGCCTGTGCCCCATGGCACATAACACCCTCGCTATGCCACTAGGCATGGGGTGGGTGGGAAGGGGGCTCCACAGGGGCGGACACACACAGGGAGCCATCTTAAAAGCCAGCTTCCCACGTGCACCATCTCCCACTCCCCTCCCTCCCTTGCTGCCTCTGATACAGCCGCAGCAAGGGGGGAATGTGTGTAGTTGTTACGATTAATTGATAAACTCTGGCTTATTGGTTAATCCTGTAAACAATTACACACTGAGGTCCCTACTTTAAAGGTAAAAGAATTGGTCCGGAGATGGCAGATTAGGACCCACAGATTTCTGCATAAACACACACAGACTCACAGAATTCTGTACGCTCCTACACACCCACCGAATTCGGCACACATCTCTCTTCTCCTTACACCTTGCCTCCCAAGCACTACACAGCTTGTAGGAAGCTATGGTGCAACACTTCCTGATCCGTGCAAAGATGCAGCCAGGGAGGGAAGCAGGTCAAGGGACAAGTATTCTTTTTTGTGTATCCCCTTCGAAGTGAGTGAAGGATGCACACACTCCCTCCCCCCTCTCCAGACTCTCTGCAATGTGGCCTGTGTCTGCTCTTCTACCTCCCATGGCAGGGGCAAAGAACAGCACTACGCGATGCAATATTTGGAGGTAAGGGGAACAATCAGGAAGTACCCGCGGATGCCATGCAGCCTGGGCTCCGCACTCCCCTTGCAGCAGTGGTTGAAAAGGGGTCGCACCCTGGGAAACCCGACACACAATCCGAGCGCCCTTCTCACGCGCACTCGGAGCCTACCCAGCGCGCGCGCGTCAACAAAACCTCCACCTCCCTCGAGCGTTAGCTCCTCCCAAGCGCCGCTGCGCGGTCCACGCCCGTCATCTCCTTATGCCTGAGAGGCGGGTCAGCACAGAGCCACTAACTATCGCGCATGGGCGTTGGGTTCTTTTGGCGCCAGCCTCTTCTCTCTCCCCCCGCCCTTCCTGGCGCTGCCCCTTGTTGTGTGACTGGGAGGCTCCTGAGCGCGAGGAATGAAGCTGAGCAAAGCCCAGTATGATGAAATAGCCCAGTTCCTGGGGCACGTGCAGCCCACCAGACAGAGCCTGAGGAAGCTGCAGGAGAGATTCCCCAGGTAAGTCTGTCCTCAGTCTACACCTTTAGGCTGGCCCCTGTGCCACTGCAGCCCCCGCTCCTCTGGCTGGTGGGGTGGCCTGCAATCTCCACGCATGGATTGTAGGGGCCAGAGCTTGTCCTTAAGGATAGTCTCACACGGTGGCTGTGTGCGTGGTGCACGATTCTACATGGTACAAAATCACAGACACACACCCCTCTAGTGCAACATACAGTTGTCTGGGGGGTAAAGTTTGGCTTGTGTCTCCTGATGAAGGAGAACACAATAAAGGATTCTCCCAAAGTAAAAGCTCTTTGGTTATCTTATCTGAACTAAGCATGTAAAATCCTGGTTAACCAGATAACCGGTTAAATGGGTGGTGAGTGCTCCAGCCGGGCCGGGCCTTCTGCAGATAGGGTGGTGAGAACAACCCTGCCTCTGGCCCTGTAGTGTTGGAGCAGCCCGTGCGATCATGTGAGGATTACCTGTTGTGTTCCCTCTCTCTGGGGCATCTGGTATTGGCCACTGATGGCAGATAGGATACTGGGCTGGATGGACCTTTGGTCTGATCCAGTATGGCCGTTCTTATTTCCGACTCTCAGGATTTGAGGTGAAATCCTGCTTGGGCTGCCATTTCCCTTCACTTTGAGAGATGTTTGTGGCTAACCAGTTAGCTTCACTGCTTACCAGTTACATTTACTGATGGTATTAGCTAATTAAAAGGGATTTACATTCTTATTCACATCTAGTACTGGAAAAGGAATGGCCTGCAAACACTGATGTAATTTTTCCCTTCACATTAACCACTGCATGTTTGTTTGAAGGCCTGATCAGAGGCCACCTGCCTAGATGAACATTAACCCGTGTCACTTGATGTCACCGTTAAAATCCCCAAAGGCTGTCTCCCAAAGGTAACAGAAAACTTGAAAATGTGAATCTTAAAGGGATGAGCATAGTTATTGCTTAAAAACACATTCGATTAAAGCACACTTGGATTAAACAGAAGAGCGTGGATGGTAGGAAGTTCTCCATGAAGAGTTGGACTTAGTTTCTTGCGTTTATTTCCTACCAGCTATGATAGAAGTCCTGTATATTAACCTTCAAAAGGCTGTAATGTCCTTCTCTTCAACAGCTTTTTGGGAAGTGGGTAGATAAGAGGGTTAGGAGGCAATCATGTTACATGTTGTGTATGCTTTCTGAGTGTTTATGACTCTAGTTTATCTGGGCATTGTTTGGGGAGCAAAAATTGCTTTTTTTGTATTAAATAAAATTAGCTAGACAGCTTGAGAATCAAAATGTCAGGAACATGATGAAAATAGGTGGTATGAATAGATTTTTTTTTTATTATGTAGTAAGTTCCTCATCCTGAGAGTGAATATAAAGTAGATTTCTCAACAAGTCTGCTCATGTTGCTGAGGTCAGGAAGGATGGTGGCTAAGACATTGGGTCCCAGATCTGAGTTCCAATCTATTCCTGCCATGTTGCACAAATTTTCTGTGCGACACTGAACTAGTCCCCAATTCAGTTAGTTACAGTTAACTGAGTGAGTTGATCCACTTGGGCAAATCCTGCAGAAATCAGTGTGGCTCTTCAGAAGTGGATCTGATGGTAGATATTAACTTTTATGGTTTCACTTCCCATGAAAAGGGGGTAATAATGCTTTAAATTAATTGATGTCAGAGATACTTTAGATTGAGGTGGGGAATCTAAGGCCTGGGGACTGGGTGCAGCCCCCGGCTTGTTTGGATTTGACCCTCGAGGTTTAGAGCTACTCCCCTCCCAGCACTGGAGAGCCTGTATGTACTCCGGTTCCCCTGCCATCCTCATGCAGGGCTGGAGCACACAAAAATCTACTAGTCTGACCCCCCCAAGGCTCTGGTGTGCAAGGGAAATGTGGGGAATGACATTGTCCTTCTCAGTTGGGGGCATGTCAGAGAGGTGTTGGGTTTTTGGGGTTTTTTTTCACTTCCTCACCCCTGCTTTAGGTATTGTGGTGATCAACACAGAAGAGCCTACAAATAAATTTTAAATTAAAATACTGAAGTGTGCTTCCTTTACCTTAGCCTGTAGGATTCTGCTTAATCAGTTAACTGGTAACGTATATTTAGCCAGTTAACTGATTAAATGGAATTGTACGTCCCTAATTGCTAATTTTACATACCTAGTTGTACCAGACAGAAGGTCCTAGTGCATGTAGATCAAGCCTTAGTGTTTGTAAGTTACTCTGTT